TAATTAAATCTAGATTCAGAATTAGATATAGCTCCCATATATATTTTCGTCAGATTTAAGGTAAATGGTGCGTCAAAGTCCCTAAATGTCTTTCGATTTGGGTAAATGTCTGGCTTTTTTATTAAGGACGGTATGTCGACCATGGTATAAACTCCTTACCATGGCGAGGCTTTGGTAACTAAACCTAATACTGTTTATTAAATTTTGTTTCGATCTGGCAACTCCTTCATATAGAAACAGGTTTTCAAAAAGTCGCATCGTCAATTTGTTTACAATGAAAACACGCATTTCTAATTTTTTGTAAAAATTGCGGATGCATCTTTTTTGAACACCTGTTTCTATATGAAGAAGTTGCCAGATCGAAACAATATTTAATATGTGTTCATAACAGAGACGGAAATTTCCAAAACACTTAACTTTTATCTGTTTAAACCGCGCTTTTTGTGCTAGGCTAAGAACTTTCCGAATTGCCCTCGTACATTCTCTATTTGAGTGGTGCCTTGTAAATTAAATTACTTTTTGGACTCCAATTCCCATGTCTAATAGCATTCTGGCTATCGTTTTTTTGTTAAAATTTATGTTTTCATCATGCCTGACCCAAAACCGAATTTGTCAAGGTTTTCTTATATTAGATTCCAATATTTTGGGCTCTGGTAGAAAAGTAAATGAAGAATTTCATTTACTTTCATTTAGTTTTGCATTGTAATTGCATTTTTGTTACCAATTTTATTAGTATTCAAAGAAAAAGTCACGAAGAATTTGAAACTCAGTTTTTAATTCACTAATATTACAAATCCATTTTATTAAATTGATGACATTGGCGTTATTCAACACTGGATAATTTGTTGATTAGGTGGTGTGCATATAATCTTATCGTGAGAAACCATAAAACAATGACTTTTTTATAATATGAAAAAAAAAATAAAATCCATAGTTCATATTGACAACCAAATGGCGGAATTTTTTTCATTTTGGGTTTTTTTGTTTCAGCTCCCCTTAAAGAGTTTATTATAAATATTTCTTTATTGTAGTCAAACATTTTGTCTATTCTATTCATTTGAACTGATAAGAGAAAATGTTGAACTCTAATAGAATTTCTATTATCAAATAATTTATTGACATTGAATGTCATTTCCTCATCTTAATAAAAAAATACATTGTTTCTTCAGAGTCTAGACACTTGGTGATAGATTATGAAATAAAATGATAAAGATAATTTTGTTATTGACCTTTTTATGCAGATATTTTTATTTTAATATTGCTTTGAAGGGTTATTATACATAGGTGAGGATTAAAAGTTGTAAGACAATTTTGCAATATGCCAATTCCCCCAAATATTATTTAAAATTGCATCAAATTGAACAATGACTAGCTACTATCATTTCCAAATTAGGTACTAATCTGTGTAGATTGTGTTTTATCAAGTGTCTCAATTGAAAAAAAAAACATGACCCATTCTATATTTAGCATTAGTTTAATTAAAAATGTTATACCTCCACTCTATAACAATAATACCCTTCAAAATAAATCAAAATTCCATCAATTTAATGGTATTCCACTTAAATATTTAATTCCAAAATTAAGCCATCACAACAATTTCCGATGACATTAATTGATAACAGAAATATTTCGCCAGTCTTTACTACCATCGACAAAACAAAAACGCAAAACTATTAGATAGATAATACTAGTTGGGGTAAAGGTGGACTGTGGACTATGAGTGTTCTAATTAAAATGCCTAACAGGCATTTTTGGGGTTTTTACCAAAATATTAATCAATGTCGTAATTAAAATATTAATATTTTATTCACTTTCAAGAAGAAGCAAAGGACAAAAGGATAAATGTAAAAATAAGCATTATAATTATTAATTGGAATTCTTATTACAGACTGTGTAGCAAGGCGATAAGTGTAATACCTAAAGGGAGAAGAATGCATTTCATAAAGTTATTTTTGATTCGAAGGGCATCAGGTTGTACAAAAAGCGCGGATATATGCGATGTTAATGTGATTAATGAATCTTTTGTATATCCTATAGCAAGTTATGAACCTTTTGATGCAGATGCCCTTTTTTATACTGCTGACTGTCATTCTTTTCGGCGCAATAATAAACCCGCATTGTTAGAGGCTCTTTTTAAGGTCAAATCTAGGTCTGTTGGGATTGATGGATTGTCGAAGGTTGAAATCAAGAAACAGCTGCTGAAATTCGATCATATTAAAATAAAGGTTGTAGCCTATGCCGATGATGTAGTCTTGCTGGTTGGCGGAAAATTTCTAATGAGAATTTCAGATATTATGGAGAGCGCCCTTTCAACACTCTCCAACTGGGCACACGCCAAAGGTGATGGTGTAAACCCCACTAAGACAGAATTGGTGCTCTTCACTAGGAAACGTAAGATTCCTTCCTAACCCTTTCTAAAAAAGCAAAATTCCTTAGTACAATCCTTGACCGCAAATTAACGTGGAATAGGAATAGTGAGGAACGCTCAAAGGACTGATAGCACTCTAATCTTGCAAGAACTCCATAGGAAAGAGCTTGGGACTAAGACCAGAGATGTATGCGACGGTCGTTCTCCCCATTTTTACATACGATCGCCTTGTATGGTGGCAGGGGGTCAACAAAAAGATACTGCTGACAAAATTAAATTCAGTACATCTATCGTCTTCGATCCTGACTACCGGAGCGCTAAGAAGTACACCACAGGAAGCCTTGAATGCGATCTTGGATCTCCAACCACTAGACATTCTGATTAAATTCCAGACTACCTGATGTGCCCTGAGGCTCCGAGATACGGTTGCCTGTAAATCGCTCAACTACGCTAGCATCCTCAACATAACGCCAGGTTGTGATTTCTTGAGAAGAAATACTCACATTAGTGATTATGTTCCCTCTCATAGAAACTTTAATGACATCAGCGTAGAGTTTCATAGTAGGGAATCCTGAAATAGTGGCTCCTTACCTCTGCCAGGTCTGTCATTTTTCACAGACGGACCAAAGATGGAGGAAGGCACTGGTGCAGGCGTTCACTGTAGGGAATTAGAAATATACAACTCATAGAAATCGTTGCAATCACGAAACCGACCGTTTGAATTCTCTCGCCGAAGATATAAGAGAGATCAAAATCATTGTGTGGATCATAACAGGTCACAGCAGGATTATATTTTCTCAAACACGAATCGATTTATGCATGTCCGTTGATGTTAAATTGAAAACAAAGTACAGGTCTCATTTATCATTCGATTTGGATGCAATTTGACGCAGCTGATTTATTTGGCCCAAGGACGAACCCTATTGAAATTGGGAAAATTTATATATAGCTCCCATATATTTTCGTCCGATTAAATATAAATGGTGCAGAAAAGTCTCTATATATCTTACGATTTGCACGAAATTTGGCATAGCGTACTGATTTAAGCCAAGAATGATGTGTGTTAAGTTTCGTGAAAATTGGTTCAGATGTAGATATTGCTCCCATATATAATTTCGTGCGATTTAAGGTAAATGGTGCGCCAAAGTCCCTAAGTATCTTTTGATTATCACGAAATTTGGCATATCCTACTGAATAAGGCCTAGAATGACGTACGTGAAGGTTTCTGAAAATCGGTTCAGATTTAGATATAGCTCCCGTTTATATTTTCGTCCGAGTTAAGGTAAATGGTGCACCAAAGTCCCTATATATCGTTCGATTTGCACGAAATTTGACATAGTGTTCTGAATTTAGCCTAGAATGATGTGTGTTAAGTTTCGTGATTATCGGTTCAGATTTAGATATAGCTGCCATATAAATTTTCGTCCGATTTAATAGAAATGGTGAGCTAAAGTCCCTAAGTATCTTTCGATTTGCAAGAAATTTGGCATGGCGTACTAAATTAAGTCTAGAATGATGTGTGCTAAGTTTCGTGAATATCGGTTCAGATTTAGATATAGCTGTCATATAAATTTTCGTCCGATTTAAGGTAATTGGTGCGCCAAAGTCTAAATATCTTCCGACATGCACGAAATTTGGCATAGCTTACTGAATGAAGTCTAGAGTGATGTGCGTACTTAATTTTATTTAATAATTACATTAATTTTATTTAATTCCATAGATGCACCATTAAAATTCCCTTCCGAATATGTCCGAAAAATTCATGAATGAATAAAAAAATTCAGTCGCAGTTAAAAAAATTCCAAAACGAAAATCAATGGAATTCTTTTGAAACGTAAATAAATAAATGCTGGATCATATTTACAAAGGTCACACACACAATACATCATAATAAATAATTTATTGCTATTTCAAGAAGTTCAGTTTTTGTTTTCTTCTTTATTATCAATTTGACTAGAAATTGATAGATATTTGAATCGATTCGTTTTTGTTTATTATTGTTATTAGTGAGGCAGGCAATCAGTCAGCCAGCCACGACAAACTGCTGCGCTTTAATGTATCTGTTTTTTGTTTGGTTGTTTGGTGCAGATTTTTCTTCAAATGGACTAAATTCATTTGTCGTCATTGTTTTTGCGTTGTTCTTTTTTGTTGTTGTTGATTAAATTGTAGCCGTCCAGGCAGCAGTGATTTATTATGGATGTGTTCCTATGGCAATTGCTCGTGATTATGATGCTTATTACTCTTGTTGTTGTTGCTATTATTATTTGTTCCATTTTCAAATAATTTTAAATGCGCCTCCTTTTTTCCTTAACTGAAATTAATTTTCATTTGTCGACTAAAAGAAAAACTTTTGACATTTTTCCATTTGGAGGCGCAATGTGTGTTGGGCCGTCCAACTCACAATGGATTTGTGGGGGTTAATAAGCGCCATTGCATACATACCATACATATATGCCGCAAAAATATAAAATAATTTTTTTGAGAATAAACATATGAATAATAATCGCCCTCCAAAACAAACAAGACCATAGCCAAGAAAATTTATTTGTTTCTTTAATACAATTTTTATCTACATTAATTTATTAATACATTCAATTTTTATTTTTGTTTTTTTCTTTCGGACTACTTGCAGTTTTATTTTGGAAGAGAATATCAACAACAATACAGGCATTTCATTCTTTGCCGTATTTGATGGACATGGCGGTGAATTTGCCGCCGATTTTGCCAAAGACATTTTGGTTAAGAATATCTACAACAAAGTTATAGAAACAACAAAACTATTGAATGCCCAAAAATTAGAACAGAAACATTTGTCAGCCGCAAATGCCGCCGACGTGGACAAGGATTATGTGGAATACGATGCCAGTCCGTATTTAAAACGTAGGGCCAGCCGCAATGATGGTGGTGACAATAAAGAAAATGAACCAATAGTTAGACGTCGTGATAGTTTACGAAAAACAACGAGGTAAGTGGAAAAATTTAATTTTTAAATAAACATTATACAATTTTTATACCATTAGCCTTATGGCTAATGAGGGTATATACACTTTGATACGGCAAAAAAATGAACCTCATCGAAATATCGGTTTTATTAGACCCCATGTTTCTTGGGACCAAATTCATTGCAGACAATTTGAAGTCGATTTAGAAATGACCGCCCGTCTGTATGACCGGCCAGTTGGCGCTCGAAGGGAGTAACGTATTTCATCCAAACATTGCACATCGCAATATTTCTTTAAAAAAATATGTTTCAGGTGCCTCCCGCACAAAAAAATCAAAATGTTGCTAAAAAATATTTTTGTAACAACATTATATCTATACCAAGCCTGTATATTGTTGGAAGGTGGGACTTATCAGCGCATTCCTTCTAGTATTTCTTCAAAAAAAAACTAAGTTTCAAATTTTATAAAATCAATAGTAAGCGAATGGAATGTCCGAATTGATACAAACTTTACACATCCTAATATTTTTACCAATCCTACATAAAGTTGGAATATGGGATCTATAGGTGCACCCTTCTGGTACCTCCCCAACAAAGTGTCAAATTTTGAAAACAATTTTAATTCATAATCAAAAAAATGGAAAGTCCGATGTGATCAAAGCTTCGGAAGTCGTAATATTATTACCAAACATTGATCATGTCCGAAGATTAGACCAATCGGTCCCCTCCTTCTGGTACCTCCCCAACAGAGTGTCAAAATTTTGAAATTTTGTTAATTCAATACCAAGCGAATATAATGTATCGCATCGTAATATTTTTACCAAAATTAAATCATGTCCGAAAATGACACCCATCGGCCCACACCTTCTACGATCATTAAAATACAACCATACACATCGTAATATTTTTACCAAACCTTGATCGAGTACGAAGATAAGACCCACTTCCTCAAAAGTGTGAACACTTCCTCAAAAAGTGTGAACATTTTGAAAATTTGTTAATTCAATACCAAACATGTCCGAGTTGACCCAAACTTTACACATCGTAACATATTTAGCCATCCTGGATCAAGATGGGATTCATCGGCCCCTCCTTTTAGTATCTCCTCCACAAAGTGTCAACATTTTGAAAATTTGTCAATTTAATATCAAACGAATGGAATATCAGCTTTCATCCAAACTTTGCAAGTCCTAATATTGTCACCTATACTAAATCATGTCCGAAGTTGGGATCCATAGTAACATTCCGGTAACTCCCTCACCAACAGTTAAACATATATTTGTATAGTGCCACTTCTTCTGACACCTCTCCACAAATGGTCAAATTTTTGAAAAATCCATATACGTTATATAAAGCGATTAATAAATCCATTGTGTATTCATTCCGTAGAATTCCGCAAACCATAGGTTGAGGGGTTTAAATGATGTACGATTGTCTTTAAAAGACTTCGGCGATTTCCTATTCTGTTAACGAAAATTTTTTTTCAACCATCCATCGTTTAACATCCTGGCAGCCGCTGATGGCCAGGCCTGAAAAATATGATAGATACAAAAGAAATCCTATGCCACTGACTTGGGACTTGGTGCTTCGACTTCACAAAGTTTGATTCACACACATGTTATATTTCATATGTAACCGCGATTTTGGAAAGTTATTAATATTCCCAGTAGTTTATAAAGTACCTTAGACTTTCCTTCCAATTTCAGTTTTTAGTCTCACAAATTAACACAACTCTTAAGTTCGTTGGGTAATCCAATTGGTTTAAACCTCAGAGTTTATGGAATCTTTCTATATGACATAGATCAGACTTCTTAGAGCTCGAAGGCCTTTTGGAGGATTATATGTAATTCCCTGACACAGTCGTCTTCAAAGAAGTTATTTTATCTCTTCCGCAGACCACGCTAAGTCCTTATTCATTCACATAACCTCAATCCTGCTAGGATGTTACATGTGACTCGTTGAAAAATAATTCGATTTGGAGGGCAATTGTTTGCCTACTAGTCCTACATCTGAACCCCTGAGTAAGATGTATTTATATTCACTCCATCGAAGATATTCGATGCTTTAAAAATACACCTCACAATTAACCCGAATAGTTCTGTAATTATTTTTTTTTTCGAATTTTGGGACGAAACTTTCAGCGTCTCTAGAATGTGGGTCATTGTATTCAAAAATTTGATTTGTATCCTTTTTTCTTATCAGGATAATCGACAGGATCCACTTTTGGCCTGTGACCAGATGTTCACAGTAGCACTGCTCGGGTACAGGTTTTTAGATGATTTATTGATCGTCTTATGAGTGTGACCATATGGTCACACTAGCACAGCTCGGGATAAGGTTGTATCACCAGACTCCACACTTTTTAACCTTTAATAGAATCGCAGTCCATTCATGTTATTGCATATGAGGTTCTCGGTAAGACTTGAGTCGTACTAACTTACCCCTCGTTAATTAGGCTTAGCTGATAAACCCGATAGGCTCATGCATCCCGTTCTTCAGGGATAAACAACTTCTGTTAAATATTGATCAATTTCCTCCATATAAAAGTATCGCTCTATTTTATATATTTTCATGATCCCCTATACGTAATTCCCAACCGAAGGGAATCTCAACTAATTTTCAATTGTAATTCAAACAGCATTATCCATTAAAATGTCAATATTCTTGTTATCAGTAAATTGGCATATTGCATCACACAGTGAAAAGCTAGGAATTTTAAACTGAAACGTTAGTAATAATTAACATAAAGGGATTGAATGGTGGTGGTGGGGTTGTATCACAATTTTTCAAATGACATGAGATAACAACTTAAACCTCCCTCAGTTGACTGCGACAATTAGAAAACAATGATTTACATGAAAACTATTTCAATAACAATGTGTTTTTCTATTCAAATGTAAATACAAAATATAAATATGGCTTTTTTACTAATCCTCATAATTTCTCTTGCATTTCCCCTCTTTAACACACAGTGTAAATGATGATTGCACATCTCGCAAAACGACTGGCGATAAAAAAGACCCATCCGATGTTTTCACCATGCAATTGAATTCTCTGTTGCGCGGTGTCGGCGGAAGCACTAAGAATAGCTTTTTCAACAACAATAACAAAGACTCGAATTTAGGTGAAGATGCTGGTGGTGGTCCACCACAACAATTTGATGCCAGTTGTTATGTGGAAAATGGCAAAATTAATTTTGGTAAATTAATAACAGACGAAGTTTTGGCAGCCGATCATAAATTGGTGGAGGCCGCTAAGAAAACGGTAAGTTAACATAAATACATACACATTTTGAAATGTATTTTAAATAATTAGAATACAATCGGGTTCTCTTTCAGACAAATATTGCCGGTACCACAGCTTTAATAGCCATCATACATGGCAGTCGTTTAATAGTGGCCAATGTTGGTGATTCCCGTGGTGTTATGTGTAATGCCCGAGGTGTGGCCATACCATTGTCATTTGATCATAAACCGCAACAGGTAAGTGTCAGCACATAAAAAGAAAGCCAATATTTGTGTCTATCCCAAAAAAATTAATGTAACCCATTATTACTATGGACGTTACATCGATCTAAACTCTACTTCAACTTCAACAGGATAAAATGTTCAAATCCTAGCCGCTAATCTGACTATTAAAGCATTTAAAATGGCTACATTTGAGTACCATCGCCCACATATATGGGATAAATCCGATGATTTTAGGTATTTTGAAATTCATAACAACTTTTTTAACCGAAGTGCCTTTAAATTAAAATTTCAAAATATAGTTTTCCAGAAATTGTCTGGAACATTTAAAAATGCATACCGGTTATTTATTTGTGTTTTTATTGACAAATGACAAAAGTTGATACAAGATTTCATGGAATAAAAAGTCGCAGGGTATTCAAAACATTCTCCTGTGGACAGATGCCAAAGCCGTATACAAATTTCCTTTAAATGAATTGTTATCGAAAAACCTACTTTCTGACAAAAGTACTTCCAACTATTGTCAGAAAGTATGTTTTTTCATAATCATGTCTCATGTCTCGTGCAGACATATGATTCCAATTTGTATACCCCTCACCACACTGTGGTACAGGGTATTATGTCTTTGTGCATATGTTTGTAATAGGCAAAAGGAAACGAGTTAGGCACATGGTTCCTTTTGAGACTATGCATATAATCACTTTCTGAGTATATATATATTCGTCCGATTTTAATTAAGTTGGTCCCCAAAGTCCCTAAATCTTTCGATTTGCACGAAATGTGGCATATGTTACTGAATTAGGTTCAGAATGATACGTGCTAAGTTTCGTGAAAATCGGTTCAAATATAGATATAGCTCCCATATATATTTTCGTCCAATTTTATGTAAATAGTGACCAAAGTCCCTATATTTCATTCGAATTTCATGAAATTTGGCATAACGTACTGATTTAAGGTATAGTCATTAGGAGGATTTGATTTCCCGTTTTATGTCATCCCTAGTTCTAAGTAAGGCGAAATAATTCCAATCTGAAATATATTTTGTGTCACCAGTATATCTTTATCGGTAATATAACCCCTATGAAATCTGAACTTTGACTCTTCCAGACATAATCCGAAGATATTAGCCATAAAACTCGCATAACCCAGTTCTACAGTTTACCCATTTGAATATTTTTTATTAATATCCGGATAATCGATGACGTCCCAGAAGAAGTTCTTGGAACTTCTCAAAAAAATCGTTTTTATAATTTTTTTTTTTCATTTCATATTTTTTCTAGGTAAGAGAACGCAAACGCATTCACGATGCCGGTGGTTTTATAGCCTTCAGAGGTGTGTGGCGTGTAGCTGGCATTTTGGCAACATCACGGGCCCTGGGTGATTATCCCTTAAAAGACAAAAATCTAGTCATAGCTAATCCTGATATTTTAACTTTCGACTTAAATGATCATAAGTAAGTAACACACAAGATCGAAATATGATATTTCATTTAAAAAAATCTCAATTTTTATTTTAGACCCTCATTTCTGATTTTGGCATCGGATGGTCTATGGGACACATTTACCAATGAGGAGGCATGCTCATACATCAAAGAACACCTTCATGAACCAGATTTCGGAGCGAAATCATTAGCTCTACAATCGTATAATCGTGGTTCCGTTGACAATATTACTGTGCTAGTGATAATCTTTAAGAATGGCATGTACCGAATTGGTTCCTCGTCATCATCATCATCATCGTCGTCTGCAACACAAAACAACAAAGCAGCTTCGTCGTCGGCATCAGCAGCTGCAAGTCAAGTAGTAAATAAGCATCTAAATGAACCCAACGCGAAATCTGCAGCATCACTTATTGGCAATACCAATTTAAATCGTTCAAATAGTGGTCGTGCGAAATAGTTATAATTATTGAACGAGACATCCTTTCGAGCCGTAGTAGCAGAAGAAGAAGAGTCAATGGACACAGACAGCTAGCTAGCTTTATACGTTTTTTTCTTATTCTGTATATAAATACAAAAACAAAACAATAACAAACAAATAAATCAAAAATTGATTGATTATAAAGTGCCCAAAGAATAACAAGAAAAAAACAAACAATTAACCAAATAAGTTTTTGTAAACGCTGAGCATTTTACTTTTAATTAACTTTTTTTGGTTAAAGACAACAATACCAACTGATTGAATGATTTTTTTAATTACTACATGCCACCACCACCGCTCTTCCTTTCTCTCCCACTTTATTACTACTATACGCTATCTATATATATGTATCGTTTATGTATACGTCTCGAAACACACAAACAACAAACCCACACCCGCCTTATTATTGGAGCAATCACAGCAATGTTTGTTCAACTATTCTCATTTTAAATGTTTCTAATTTATTGCCCTTTTTTGTTTTTGTTGATTGATTGCGAGAGATATCCGTTCGTAATTGATCTATCGTTTTAATTCATATTTATTTAAAATTTTTGTTTTAGTCGCGCGCTCACTCACGCACTTTTCTTGTTTTTAGAATTTTAATTTAAATAATTCATTTTGTTTTTGGTATACTTCATTTTTGTTTATTTACATTATAATTAAATTGTCTAATTATGTTCGATCACGTTTTTTAAGTGGAGAAGACTATTTGATTTCCATTGTTTTTTTTTTTCTTTTGTTTTTAAATTGAAAATACAAAAAAATAATAATACAAATCAAGTAAATCAAACAAACAAACGAAAATATACTATTAAAAATATTGATTATTTATTATTAATAATATTAAATGTTAATGTCTTGTTTTTTTAATTTATGATTAATGGGAATGGATTTTGAGGGTAAAAGTGAAGATATGGTAAAAGACAAAAATGTGTAGATTTGTATGGTAAGGTGGCGAGATTTTGAAAATAAAAAAATATTTTTAATAAAAATAATAGCACATTTTAAGAAAAAATTTAATCATTTCTAAAAATCCTGAAAATACCTTTTCTAAATATTTCACATAGAGTTTTGAATTAAAAAATCTGTTTTAGTAGCCCAATATTCCACCTATGCCCAGAGGAATTGTTAAGTCCACAACTGATTTATTTATTTTTTTTCCTTTACTGAAAATATTAAACCAAAATTTAATTCTCAACTTTCTTCAAATTAAAATAATTTTCATAGTTCTTCTGAATGTAAAATTAAAATGTTTATTGACATGTGAACTACACAATCTTCCCTAACCAATTTTGAAAGTTTCATCCAAATATCCCAATTCATTAAAAAGTTTAAGCCATTTGAAATCGACCTTGTGTCGAAATATAGCGGCTACACGATTCTGTTTGCCTAGTACACATGTGAGAAAATCAAGTAATTCCACATGGCACAAAAACCGAAGAATGCAGCTAACTAACAGTGTTGCCATATCGCTTCAATAGTGTTTGTAATATTAGTTTATAAATTATGAGCATACTTTTAGGCGCTACATTAAAACCTGTGGCGTTTAGATTTTCCCTATATTTCCATCAAAGTTGTGCGCCTGAAAGTATGCTAATAATTTTTCAGCTTGTATCAAGAAAACTCACGCATAATTTAAATCGATCTGGCAACGTTGCTGCATTCGACTTTTTTTGTGAATTGCAGGTTCTTAATTTTTCTCATTTGAGGTACTAGGCAAACAGAATCGTGTAGCCGCTATATTTTGACACAACGTCAACTTTAAAGGGCTATAACTTGGTAATAAATTGCGGTATTTGGATAAAATTTTCAATATATCCAAATAATGAAATTAGGGGAATGGTTGGAGTTTTTATGTGTATCAAGAACTAAGACATAATTACTTTTTTTTGAGATAAATGATCGAATGATCGAATTCGTCCATGACAAATGTCGCTTACAACCCAACGCAATGGCGGTTATAAACATAAATCGTGGATCTGCTTAAGTTAATTGTGAATAAACACAATACCACACACACATATTTTTTCCTTAAAAAAATTACCTATTTTATTAAATATCTTAAAATATAAAAAAGATTACAGTAAATACTTGTTTGTTCTTCATAATCAATCAATAAAAATTTGGAAACAAACTCTATCTTCACAATGAGAAAGTAAATAATAAACGGATATTTACATTTTTTGCTTGTTATTTATTTGTTTATATAATAAACAAATCAGCGCTCAAGAAATTCTTAATATACACTTTTCTTTCTAATGTATAATATTTCATTCTTCTTCTGTTTTTGCTGCTGCTCTTCTTCATCTTGGTTGTGGAGAATATAAAAAATGTGTATACGAGACATGCATGCATATGTGTTACAGCAAATAGCTTCTTAATGAGCAGAGACAGAGACTTGCCAGACACGGATGGTGTTGTCGGAGTAACCGGCGAACAAGGTTTGACCATCGGTGGACCAGGCCAAGGACAAACATTGGGGTGCGTCAGCCTTGGAACCGCTGGAGACGATGTCGGGGCGGAGTTCTTCGACGGTCTTCTTGCAGGCCAAATCCCAGATCTTGATGGATGGACCGTAGGCAACGCACAACCAGTAACGGTTGGGGGAGAAGCACAAGGCATTGATGATGTCGTTGTGTTCCAAGGTGTACAAGTTCTTGCCGTCATTCAAGTCCCACAAGAGAGCCTTGGAGTCCTTGCCACCAGAGGTGCAGAGGGAACCATCAGGAGAAACGGTGACGGTGTTCAAGTAGCCGTTGTGGCCGTGGTGGTTGTTCTTCAACTTGCAGTTAGCCAAGTTCCAGACCTTGACGGTGCGATCCCAACCGCAGGAAACAATGATGGGGTTGGAGTGGTTGGGGGAGAAACGGACGCAGGATACCCAATCGGTGTGGCCATCTTCTTGGATGGTGAATTTGCATTCAGCCAAAGTGTTCCACAACTTGATGGTCTTGTCGCGGGAGCCAGAGACGATTTGACGATTGTCAGCAGAGAAGGCAACAGACAAAACATCCTGTAAAATGAAAAGGCAATCAATTAGTTGTTTGTTTTCAAACAATGAAAATATAATTTTGAGAAAATAAAAATGAAAACCATTCCACATAAATCAAAAATGATATATTTTTTTTTAAATTTCGTTTTTTTTCTGATTTATAAAAACTTACGTTAGATTATCGCTCTCAGTACATGGATTTACGTGCAGAGAGTGATGCTTGTGTGCAGAGACGTGTGTAGAGATGACCATTCTTCTCTTTTTTCGTTCTCAACCAGAAATTCTGCCCCGCATGGGCGACACATTTTTATATATTTTTCGGAATGGTGCCTTTCATTTATTTCAATTTAATGCAACTATCTAACCTAACAACTATCAGGCAAACTCTTGGCAACCAATTCCATATTTCCTAACAATTCAAAGAAACTCAATCTAGGCCCTAATACCTAGCATTTTTTCCAAAATCAAATTTCATATGAAACAAAGTTTCCCCACCTTGGTGTGATCTTCGAAACGGCGAGTGGTTTTGCCAGCGGCCAAATCCCACAAGCGCAAGGTCTTGTCCCAGGAACCGGACAAAGCGTAGTTACCATCGGAGGACAAAACGACGTCACTGATGAAGTGAGAGTGACCATACAAACGCTTTTGGGGGAAACCGTAGTTTTCCTCATCACGGGTCAACTTCCAGACAATCAAGGTCTTGTCTAAAAATAGAAATAAAATTCATTTAATCATTATATTTTTATTGAAGGATTGCAACGATATTTATGGATAATTATGTGTGTACATAACCTAACTTTTTCGGCTTAAGTATGAAATGCTAGAAACCGTATACATACCACGAGAAGCTGAGATGATGGTATCGGGATCCTTGGGGTTGGTGGCAATTTGGGTTACCCATCCATTGTGCCCATAAAGGGTACCGCGTAATTGCAAAGTCTCAGACATATCCTATTAAAAATTTATTTGCGGAGCGCAAGCAGACGTCCAACCTCGGTAAAAGGTTTCGTGAAAAAGAAGGAAGTCGAGACACAGAGTTGTAATCAACAACATTGACAACTTTCTTTTGACGTGTACGCGTATTTAAATGCCGACGTATGACGCACCATTGGGCGCATCACATCAAAATGAAATAAAAGGTACGTTTAGACTTCTAAATAGAGTACCTTTAAAACTAGTTTTAAAAACAAATTTGATTTGTCATACACATTTCACTGGTGTCATTATTTTGGCATGGTATAATAATAGAAGGTAACAGCAAGTGTTGTTGTACAAAAAACGATACAACAACCACATGGAAATTTGTTGTTGTAAGTTCTACTAGTGTCAACTCATTTGACAGAAAAATGTAAACAAATAAACAAATTATCATCAAATTATTTTTATTTTGAAAATGAATTATTTTCGAATCCTCAAAATAAAAATTGAAAAACATGAATGAAAATCTTTCAAATTTATATTTCTATCGCTTCCACATCTTTCCTATAATTGAGCCATTGCCATATATATGTGTAACACATATGAAAATGCTGGGAATAGCGAGTTATTCCTTGAAGAAAGATTTGCTTCCTCAAACTTTCCCAGCAGGCAGATTGAGTAAATTGAATACAGGAGCACATTTAGTAAAGAACAATTTCAAATTGTATGCGTTCCCAATTTTCCAGTTGGGTGATTTTTAAAAACATAATTTGTCAAATTCATATTGACACTAGTATTACGTTGGAATCAAATCAGCTGGGATTTGCTGTTACCTTTTATAATTGTACCATGTTATTTTGGTAGGAATTTTTCAATCAATATTTTCATAAATCTAGGTCCACACTAAAGTGATTTTATGAAAAAAATTAAGGATCGTTTATACTATGCCTTCTAAATTGACTCGATTTTTTAATCGAGCTACCTAATCCTGACTTTTTAGACTTGTATTAAAATGATATAAAATTGATTTGTTTACGTACACCCATGGTATAATTATACAAGGTAGGGTATGTTTTGTCAACAAAGAAAAAATACACTCCTACGTTATGGCCTATAAGCCAACATAAATCAAAAACAAATACAAGTCGTTCTGTTCATTTGACCTGTTTTAGAAATTGAATATATATATATAGATTTATGTGGCAATTTTGGATTTCGTAAATATTAACGCCTTTAAAAGCTCTCATGACCTAATAAACCATTTCCTTTTTTATAGGTTATATCATATGAAAAAATACATATGCTTGTTTGAACTCAAAAACTAAAAATATTGTGTTCGCCGCTGACTTTGACACACATAATGGTGTTTTTACACGATATGTATTTTACATATGTGCTGTCACTTTTTTGCATATGGAAATCGAACTCGTCATGTGAAACATACGGAAATTTCAATGTGTCAAAACGATATGCAATTACATATGTATTTTTTTCCGAATAGGACGCGCTCTATTTTCGTATGTGAAACATAAGGAAATCAGCTGTTTGAATGAAGCACATTGTTGGAAGTAAATATTTCAATTGCAAGTCAAAGAAAAAGATGAAAAGGCAACAATTACAAATTATTATTTCGTTTGTAGGTGTTTAATAAAAAAGATGTTGATTTAAGAAAAAAAGTGATTTTTTTTGTTAAAAAAATAAATGTTTTGTGTACGCCGCTAATTTTGACACACATAAGGAATTACATATGGATGAAATAAGTGACAGCACATATGTAAAATGCATATCGTGTAAAAACACCATAAGGAATTACATATGACATTTGAGATCAAGTGTGCACTTCTATTCTGATCCAACTGTATATTTCTTTCAAACAGCTGATCTCCTTAGGTTTCAAATACGAAAACAGAGCGCCCATGATGTATCAAAACCAAAACATTTGTTTATTATTCGACCATCTGTTGTCAAATGGCAGCTATATATTTAAATCGAATTCAAGTACAAACTATGCACCTTGACAGTTAGCCGAATAGTCAGATGCACTAAATGGAGAGCCTATTTGTTCTGCCATGAGTGCGCTCTATTCGGAAGAAATACACATGGAATTGAAAGTTTCATATGTTTGACAGGATATATTTACGTTTACTTTTGAAACCAGGAAATGGACATTGTATATTTAGTGCAAGGTAGGGCTACAACATGGCATAATAACAGAAGGTAGTCTCATTTGAGAATTTTATGATGGCAACCCTTTTTAATTTGGAACTCATTTATCAATTTGAAACATGGCATAATTACTGAAGGTAGTCTCATTTGATGATTTTATGATGGCAATCCTTTTTAATTTTGAACTCAAATAAATTCCATAAATTTTTTCTAAAGCAGAACATTGCTCTAAAGATTAAACCATGATTGTAACAACTTTTATTTGTAACTTTTAGCGGCAAAGAACTTCAAAATATTTATAAATATAATTTATTTAGCAATTTTTGACACTGAACAAATGATATGCGTACATTTCGAGGGAAGATATTTTCATTTAAACTTGGAAAACTGAATACTGTCAAAGGGAAATTTATGAAAATAATTGGAAAAATATGACTGCATGTACATACATATGATCATGACAAAATTTATCAGGATTTATCATAAAAATTTAAATCATCGTGCGGCAAGGTTTATATTAAATCATGGACGAAATTATGTTATTAATTAGACGTTTTATTTGCGAAAAAATCTTGTATGTAAAATACATGTTGTATGTATCAGTTGATTCACATTTAGATCATCATTACAGGTATGTGTAAACAATTAGGGTATATTTTTGGATTCCGTGAATCAATTGATTTTTCGCATTTATTTATACTTATACTTTAGAGCATGGAATAATTACAGAAGGTAGTCTTATTTGCAAAATTATTAATGGCAACCATTTTTAATTTAGAATTCATCTCTCAATTTCAAATTATATGAAAAATAAAATACAAAAAACTTAAAAAACTTAAACATTTTGTAATTATTGCCACTGAACTCGTGTTGTGCGTACATTTCGAAAGAGGATATTTTCATTTAAATTTTGAAAGCTGATTGTTGTCAAAAGTAAAATTATGAACAAATTGGAATTATATACCTGCATGAGACTACCTTGTGTAATTATGTCATGAGTTCAGAGCTTGATAATTCGGAGCTCCAGAGCTTGTTACTTCGTAAAAATATAAAATACACATAGAACAAGTTTGTCATATTTTGAACATTTATTTTTTTTTTATTTTTTATTTATTTAATTCATTCATGTAATACAAAGCCTTTAAGGCCAAAAATTTACACTATAATATAATAACATCTGAGTATAAAAATCATGTATATATAAAAATTAATATATTAATTGATGAGATAAAGTTTGGGTTCAGTATTAGGTATGGCCTCCAACCATTAAAAAAGAAGGTATATATACAACAATAACGCAATAATAGTTTTAGGTAGCAGTAACCACAATACAAAAATTAATAACTTTTTTAGGCATTATACAATTCAATTAGTTTTAGCTTGAACATGTTATTTGAATGTGAAAAAACTCGTAGCTCTAAAGGTAATACGTTCCAGCTACGAGCTATACGAAATAAAAACGATCGACAAAAAATATTTTTCCAAATTCTAGGTATAAATATTTGGGGATTCCTAGAAGAGTGGGAGAAGTCAAACGATCTATATAACGATGTAGGTTTCCTGTTTTTGACAATCTTATAAAATAATGACAAATTGCGAAGGTCAATATATGCATTAAAAGAACATTTAAGAAACTTCTTAACGTACTCAGATACATGGTTCCTTCTAGGGATGTTATGTACAAAACGAGCAATGGTGTTAACAAGTCTCTTGAGTCTATCTAAGTAAATACCCACGGTACCTGAAAAGACTTCCAAACAATAGTTAATATGAGACATTAACAACGCATGACCAACTCTATTTTTGATACGAATGGGTAGATATATGTTACAAGCGTAGATTTTACGCAAAGATGACATAACCTTACCATAAAGTGAATCAATATGGTATTTGAATGAAAGTTCACTGTCTATAACTACACCTAGGCATTTCAGCCTGTCTAAGAGTTGTATTCTATCATTCTGAAGATATATATGAGGGCAAGCACGAATCGACGGCCGAAACATTACTGCTTTGCTCTTAGACGAATTAATAGATAACGAATTATTACAAGTCCATCCTTCCACACTCCGAAGACAGTTGTTTATGTTGCTTTGACATATTTGATGAAAGGAAGGCTGACCACTAAAAAGCAAAAAAATGTCGTCAGCAAACATAAACGTTTTACATTCTGCAAAATCAGTGTAGGCAGGTAAGTCGTTCACATAAAGAATAAACAACAAGGGTCCTAAAACGGAACCCTGCGGGACTCCAGAGTGAAGAGTCAACAAATCTGATTGAAGACCATTATAGGCCACAAACTGGGTTCTATTGCTCAGGTACGAAAGAATGAGTGTGCATGCAGAATTAGAAAAACTATATTCATGTAGGAGCTTATGAATCAAACGCTTGAAGTTGATGGAATTAAATGCCTTAGATAGGTCAAGTGAAACCAGAACACTGAATTTTCCTATATTGATATTCTCTCGAACGTGATCTGTTAAACTTAGAAGTAAATGCGTTGTACTATGCCCTGCTCGAAAAGCAAACTGAGAGTCACAAATTTGGTTGGAACAGTGCTGTAACATTTGATCCTTAATAATATGTTCAATGATTTTAGAGACAGCTGGAAGAATAGAAATGGGGCGAAAATCTTCAGGTCCACTTATGTTCCTAGTTCTTGGTATTGGTACGACGCGTGCGCATTTCCAAGCTTGCGGGAAAGAAGAAGTCATTAATATACAATTAATCAAGTCAGTGAAAATATTAGATATATAAGGAAACATTTAGGATGACTATTAAAACTATATCATTATCTAAGATCATTTATTGGATTTAATAAATCCAGTATAATGTAAATGTACTATAAGTTTTCTTAGATTAATTAAATCCTATTTATATTCAAAGGAAAATAATTTCATTTTAAACGTTAAATAACAATCAATTCTACGTTTTGAATAAATGTTTTTTACAGTTATTAATATTGATCAGTGTGTACAACACCTGTGTAATGTAAACAATAAATTTGATGAGTAACTACAACACTTCAATAGTTGGCAATTCATTGCCATATTTTTTGTCGTTCGATGAGTAACCAACCTCTTTTTTCCAATTAGTATTATATCGTTTTCATCCGTGCACACCTATAGCTATCCTTGTCCGACACATTGAAACTAGGCGACAAATGCGTGAGAAAGTTCAAAACACAACGAAAATTTCAACGAAAAATACATAAAATACAGTCAGTCGTTCGTCGTTTTTTCACTCGTTCGTATCGTTTTTAGATTACTTTATCGTGTTTTTATATCCAACTACAAATAAGAAAAAAATTAGACGTTGCTGAAATTTGCATTTGTCTTTCTCTTTTTTGTGAAAATTGTGCAAATTTCTTACAACGCCCATCCGTATATAGAATATAAAAGACAAACGAGATAGAAAAAAAAACGCACGCAAAAGCATAACAACAAACACTTTACAAACTCTAATAACCACAACCAATTCCTCCATTATCTTGGATTATATAAAATTTTCTTCTCCCCTCTGTGTTAATAAAAAGCCGTCAAAATTGAATCGACAAAGATTGACGAGACTTTTTCCTCTACTTCAACTGCAATGGAGGATAAAGCAACAACAAAAGATCTGGATCAATGGATTGAACAGTTGAACGAGTGCAATCAATTGACAGAAGCCCAAGTCAGAACTCTGTGTGAAAAGGTAAGCAAAGGCACAAAAAAAAATTGCGTTAGGATCGAAAAAGAAATGATAAATTGCTCCCTCCCCGTGTAAAAGACACGAAAATATCATCACATGCAAAAAAAGTGTATAAAAAAATCATTCGCAATGAGTAGCCAGCAGCAGCAGAAGAAAAAACATACTCATCCAAAGACATCTAGATTTCGTCAAATTTTTTGCAAAATTCAAAAATATGTATAGTTATCTCTTTTTCCCCATGAGAGTGTGTGGTGCAAAGTGTTGTGTTTGTGTTGGTCTTGTTGTTTTAATTACAAACGGCCATTTTCCCATATTCCTCTCCCTTGTTTCGTTAAATTATCTATTTGTCCATTGGTTTGCAAAAAAGTGACAACAATACGTTGCGTGCCGATAGAGAGGGATTTGTTTATACTCAGTGAGAGACAACAAATAAATGGGCGAGAGTGAGCCAGAGAGAATTGGACGAAAGTATGTTAATTTTATATGATGCGTTCATTTCTATTGGAGAAATATAAAAAAATGAAAAACAAAATAAAAAATAACTTCCTTTAATAAAAATACTAATAGAAATATATGACAGATAATTTGTTAATATGTATTTTGTACTAAATACTATAGAGATGGGGAAATTTGTTATATTTTTTTCAATGGAAGCAATAAAGCCGAGTAATAAAATAAAATTTGCTTATTGGTTGGCATATTTACACTTGCACAAAACCCATATAGAGGAGAATAATTTAAGGTTATGTTCTTAACGTAGCCATTTTCTGAAAAAAAGAAAAAAAAATCCTGTTTTCTTTCCTTGTGGCTAGACAGGATTTGACAGATATTATTTTCATCTTTTCTGTGTTAAGAGCATTATATTTACATTAGATTATTTACAGAATCTGGTTTCTTGGAGCTAAAAGGGAGTTACAAATTTATTTTGTGTGTATCCCCTCCTCTGTGGTATTCTGTTAATTTATCCTTGATGAGACATCTATGCAAAAACAATGACGATGCGGATGATGCTGCTAAATTTTTGTTCATTTCATATTGTAATTTGATGAAATTGCTCCGTCGTCACTGTGTGAGGTTTTTTTGAGTTTGTTTGGACATTAAAGTAGTGTGTGTGTATTTTTTCGTCTGGTTTTGTTGTTGCAGAACACAAAAAGTACCTTGGGACCGGTTTTCTTCATCATACGTCCAGGCTCTTTTCATTTTTTTTGTTTGGTTACTGCTGTTTTTTTAATGACAAAATTCTTGTATCCAACAAATAATTCTAAGAAAAAAGTGTATATGTATATATGCATCATTGACCGTTTCTTTTTTCAAAACCTGTTCATTCGCTGCAATAAAAGTCCTCATCATCGTCGTCATTTTGCTTTTCCAATAAATGACAAAAATTTCTCGTCACACAAGATGCGCTGGAAAAAATACTTTGTGCAACAAAGACTTTCTACCAACTGTCATTATTTTGGGTTGTCCTTCTCCAATAGCATTCTTTTTTGTAGTGAAATTTGTAGCAGAGAGATTTTTTATAAAATTCTGTGCCAAAGAACTTAAAATTACTTATGATAATTTATAAAGATCAATGTTGATGAATGTAAGTCAAGTTTAGGGCACTCTCGCTTTGAATTTTTACCATATGCAGTCATGGCGTCCTGATTTTTCTTGTGAAAATGGGTATAGGATATGTGCCTCCAAAGTTCCATTGGGAACCTTGTATTTTCTCATAATTTTTAAAATTTTAAAAATGGGTATCAATTAAAAGCGGAAACCGTTGTAATCAAGGCCCCAAGGACTACATGTGATAAATATATCAAAATAATAGTGGAGAGGGTCCTAAACCAAACTTGTTCCAAAGCAAATAAGTTCTAAATTTTAGAAAAACTCATAAAATGTTATAACCCCATTTATTTTCCCCGATAAGCCTATAAAGTATATATTCTTAAAAATTGCATATCGATATAACCACGTTTGTTTGTTGAAATGTCGGTAGAATTCGTACCGTCCCATTTTTATACCCTCCACTATAGTATGGCTGTTATATTAATTTTGTCATTCCTTTTGTAACTCATCGAAAGATTAATTTCCGACCCTATAAAGTATATACATACTAGATCAGGGTAACATTCTAAGACGATCTAGCCATGTCCGTCCATCTGTTGTAATCACTCTATCTTCTGAAGGAATTGAGATAGATCCCTAAAATTTAGAATAGAGTCGTCTTTTGTTTGCAGGTAGGTCAAGTTCGAAGATGGGCGTTTAGGCATAGCCCCCATTAAAGGGTGCCGCCCAATTTTCGATATTTTGGGGTTCTTGAGCGCGTTTTTCAATCGAAAACGCTTAAATTTGTTACATTGGTTTCTATTTGGGTACCAAATGTCTTCACTAAGAATTATAAATATCGGTCCACTTTTTTTACGAAAAAAATTATAAATATCGGTCCACTTTTTTACGATATTTTGGGGCTTTAGCGCGGGGTTCTTGAGCGCGTTTTTGAACCGAATTCGCTGTATTTGCAACCAAAACATTCGTATTATGAAACATATTTTCGCATGAAATGAGAAACGTTTCCCTATATTGTGTAGTTCTTGCATTACCGGGCCACATTGTAGCTGTATGATTCTGTCCATAAGGATTTTAGAGAATAATTGCATGACTATAGACCCAAAAAAGCTAAAGAGTTGCTTCGCTTGGCCGAAAGTGGTGAACTGCCGAATGCGCAATGAGCCAAAATACTGCTGAGCAACATTCGGGCAGCGTGTGACGGTTTCAGTGACCGTTTGAAGGCCATAATTCGTGCCAAAGGTGACCAATTCGAACAAATCTAAACTTATACTAAAATTTTATGCTATTTCCGACATTTTTTGCGGCGTTTGACTTTGTTGCAGTTTTTTATCTCAACATTCGCATCTGTAGACATTTAATATTTCGTTTTCACTTGAGTAGAATACTCTTTTATAAATGATCGTCATATTTAATTTTATTATCAAAAGATTAAGAAACATTATAGGTCTATTTCTAAATGCAAGACTTGTGGGTATAAACGTGGTATCACATTTCAAATGTATTTCCTTAGCGATGGGAATGTTCCTTTGGAAGCTTAAGAACAAATATTCATTGTAAATACACTTTGCACCTGCAATAAAATAACTTAATTACATTGCCAATTAATTTTCATTACTCCTCTTATTTTCCCTCCATGTCAGGCTGGGGATAAAGAAAAATTGTGTTTTCTACACAACTTTACAACATTATTTTGTATTTGTAAATTGCAAATATTGATGTTCTCGTCTTATGTTCGCCTTGTGCTTGCTGCCTTGGCTTCTTAATAGTTTAATTTAAGAATATCCATTTATATTTTTTGTTGCTGTTTCTTTTGCGTTCTAATTTATTTTGTTGCTGCTTCTATATACATACGTAGTATTTTCAATTTAGGGTTGTTTTACTACACACAATTTGTTTAAAAACAGACTATGAGTCAGCGGCAAGCAAGCCGCCCGGGTTAGTATAGAACGGTCGGCAGAGAGGGAATCCAACTAGGCCGGCAGTGAGTCAGGCAGGGGGACAGGCGATATTCCCAGTCAATATGATGATGAGTTTGTTTTATTTTTATAGTGAGTAGTAGTAGGCCTGCTACTAATATACCCCACATACTCAATAGCCTGTCTGTCTGTCTTCCCCTTCGGAAAATAATGTTTGCGTTCTGTTGTAGTTCTTTTTTGGTTGGGTGGTGGTTTAATGGTGTAGTTTTTATGTTAAACAATAGTCTTTTCATTGGGCTTCCTAGGTGTTAGATTTTCAATTGAACACTTTGATTTTCATAGCTCGCTCCCTCCCTCTCTCCCTACAAAATGTTATAGATTAATGTTCATGTTTTCTTGTAAATTTGTTTATTTGGTCGTGTTGTTGTTATTTTTATCTAATGTAAACAAAACAAATAATATGTTTTTTGTACATGTGTTTGTGAATTAAATGTTGAACATTTTATTTTATATTTTATTTAAATTCTATAAGGGGTTATTACATTTTCTATCATTGTGCGTTCATTTTATCACCAAAATTAAATATTTGTACTTAAAAATTGAGCAATTGTTCGTCTGAAATATGTATTAATTCAAGGTTAAATGCACGACCTTTGGTCATTGGATGGATGGACGTCAATTGGGAATCAAGGCCAAAGAAAGTAGACATCAAAATTGAGCAGTTTTTCAAATCAGTTGCTTAGACACATACAATCGCGCAGTGGTACCTTCTTAGAAAAACAAAACATGGTTGAACTACTACTTGGGTGAACTTAAAATTGATTTACTATTCGGGTGGTGTCCCCGGATTTTTGCCAATATTCGAAATGACTTGCATGACCCTGTGTCAGTCTCTGTGGTAAATAGTGCGATTACACAATTATTCCCAGACTTCATTGGTGTCTCATACATAATTATCGTTTAACAAGTGAAAAATGCGTTATGTTCGGCCGGCCTTTGGATAACCAAATTACATCGAATTCGGTTAAAAACGCCGATCAAAAATACCAAAATACCGAAATTCGAAAAATATCCCCCATAATAGTTATATAGAACTTCTGGAAAAATGGACCTATATTTATAATTTTTTTGTGGAGAAATTTGGTACCCAATAAGAACCCAATGCAACAAATTTCAATGAATTCGGTGAAAAACTGGCCAAAATACCGAAAATTTGGGGGTACCCTTATATGGGAACTGCCTGCAGACAAAATACAACCCTACGAAAATTTCCCTATCTAAATTCCTTCGGAAGGTAGCGTGATTACAACAGACGGACGAACGGCGGACTAGGGTATATATATACTTTATTTCAATGAGTTACAAACGGAATGACATAATTAATATACGCTCCATACTATGGTGGAGCGTATCATATTTGTATATAAGTAGAGCCCGAAAAAAGCTATATTTCCATTCTTAAACAACATGTACATTAAACCGCTTTGCAGGGTTAACCTTCTTTTTGAGGTTTTATTTTAGAAATATGTAAGG